GAAGTCAAGAAATTTTCCAACCCGAAAAATTACTAGACCGAACCAGGAATCGAACCCAGCCACCTCATACGTGGTCTTGGTTTGTAGCTGCGCGTTTACTGACTGAACTAAAGGAGAACTGTTGTCCCTTAAAACGTATTAAAAAAAAACAAAGAAATCAATTTTAAGGCAAAAATATTCTTGAGTTTTTATTTTAAATTAAAAACAAAATGTGGTACATTTTTTAAAGTGCCTATTTTTTTCTTCAAATAGTCCCAGCCATCCCAGCTATCTAAAACATTACCAAAGGCACTAAACCGATTGGACAAACAGTTTTTGACTAACAGTTTTATGAAGGTAAGCCTAGTATTTTTCTGGGGTTGTGTCATTTCACCGAATGTACTATTCGAAAAAAACTGCTCATGCTTAAAAGAAGGAAGCATTCCTATAAATCATAAATATTGATTATTTAGAAAATAACGAAATCAGCACAACTCGAGAAGGACACATTTTTAAAAATGTAATACATTGATTGTTTAAACATTTTCGAAATCAGTTGAACTCGAAAGAACTGCTCATGTTTAAAAGAAGGAAGCATTCATATACATCAAAAATACTGAAATCAGTGCAACTGCTCATGTAAATTTCTGGTCTTTGGAAAAATGTCTAGAACTTAAAAATTTTCCTAGATCATTTTTCGAAATCCAAGACTTAGAAAAATTTCAAGATTACGAAGCAAAAAAGGCTGAGTATTGGGAACCGATTTTTGGAAGCCTCAGAAAATTTGTGATAAATCTATGGCAATTTAGAGATTACAGGTAAGGTAAAATATTTGGAATATTATAATCAGGACAAATTTTGAATGTCACGATCACGAAATTTTCGCATTCAGAGAATAATTTCATAATGTGTGTGGGAGAAAACAAATTCGGAGCATAAGTCCTTGGAATTTTTTTGAAAATACTAAAAGAAGAATTACAGTTAAATTTGAGAATAACTTAAGGATAATAATAATAATAAGGACATTTTCAAAGGAATTTGGAAAATAAATTCAGGAGAGTTTTCCAAACAAATTATGAGAAGAAATCTAAGGAAATTGTGAGTAGAAATGCCAATGAATTCTTAGGAGACTTTCAATGTGAGTAGAATTCCAAGGGAAGGAGTGAGATTCAAAAGGAAATCTGAAATGAATTCAATGAATATTCTGATAATCTTTCCAAAGGGTGTCTTATTGTGGAGAATTTCAAGGTAATTCCGATAAAAACTTAAAGAAAATTGAATTCGGAGGATACCTTCATCGAAATTTTCGTTGAATATGAAATGGACTATTCTGAGATCTTACCAAATTTTTCCTATGAAGTTCTCGAAATGTTTCTGAATACCACTGTCCTTCTGTGAAGTTTTCGAAGTTTTTCTAAATTTCTGGAACTTGTGTGCCCCCGCAATTTTCCTGGATTTAGAATGAAATAATTAGTATAGTTTTATGATTTTCACTTAAGTTCTCATGATTTTTCTGGAGTTCACGAAACTTCCATTAAATTATCGAGCCTTCCGGGTGTTATTAAAATTGCCTAAACAAATTTCTTTAAAGTTCTCTAGGTTGCCCTGAATTTATCAGTATTTTTTAACAACCCGCAACTTTACTGAAATTAATTGATTTGCCTTGAATTTTGGACAATTTTCCTTGAATATTCTAACCATTAAAAACGCTCACTTATATTCCCTGAACTATGCTTACTTAAAGTTCTCTAAATTTGTTGGTCCGGCAAATTTTCTGATATTTTTTGGCTTTTAGATCAATCATAGAATTCTTGGAATACCCCATAATTCCACGGAATTCCTTGTAAGTCGCTGCAAATTTGCTTAAGTTAATGGGATTATTCTGAAGCTATTTGATCGTCCTCGAAGTACTCGGAACTTCGCTGAATATCATGAGACTATCTAAATACTAAGTTCTCTGGAATTTCTTGAAGATATTTATCGCTGCTAAAAGTCCTCACATTTTTTTTTCGTTGATATTCTCTAATCAACTTAGCTAACCTTTTTTTAAGTTCTTGATATTTCCATGATATAACACCCTTAAAATACTCTCACGTTTTCCGGATGTTCATATAATTTTTATCACGTTTCAGAAGTTCTATCGGAGCTTTGTTGAAGTTTCCGGAACTTCGTAAAGGTTTCTACAATTTTCTTTAAATTATTTGAACTGCCCTTGTTTCTCTGATCTGTCTTGATGTTCTCGAAGCTTCCCTTAAGCTCTCAATTCTATTGAAGATAAATTTCCCTGAAATTCTTTGGACTTCTGTGAAGTTCCTGAAATATTTATGAAGTTTTCATAAATTATCTGATGGTCTCTGTACTTCCGTGAAATTCTCGGAGCATCTTAAGGGTTCTAAATTTTCCTAAATTTACGGATTTATGGATATTTAAAGTGCTGTAAAAAGTCTGAACTAAAGTCATGGGAACTGCTCTTAAGAGCTGAAATTCCCCAAAGATCTCTAGATCTAGCTTTTCAGAGGTGCTTAGATTTTTTTTTAAATTTGCACAAAACCCCTCAAGGTTTCTATACTTCTCAAGTTTGCTTAACACCTGTAATGTGCTCTGAAATTCTAGGAACTTCATAGAAGTTTCTGAAAATTTTAGAATATTTACCGATTTGAGGATCTTAAAGCTTCCAGTAAGTTCCCCATAATTTCAGTGTGTTAACTTCCCTTATGTTCCCTCAGTTTGTTTATGGAGCTTTACTGAAATACTCAGAATTTCCTTTCATTCCTCAGAACTTCTTCAAAGTTTCTATAATTGTTGTGAAGTTAATGGGACTGCAATGAAGATCTCTAATATTTCATAAAGTTAATTACGAACTTGCAATAAGTCATTTAATGTTTTCCTTAATTCAAGCACTTTGAAAATTTTCAATATCATGAACTTGTACATGGAATACGAAACTACAAGACATTGAATGTTTTTAGATTTTCGACTTACTCAAATTAAGTACGTTTTTTAAACTGTGAACAGTGAAAAATTAAGTTTAGCATTCATTGGATTTGATTACAAACTTGTTTCTTTAAAACTGATTGTTAAAAACGCGTGGGTTAATTACTGTTGATCTTCCAGAAAAAGCATATTTTGAATGCATTTTTAAAAAAGCTTTCTTATTATAAGCCTTGAATTTATCCGTTAAAGTTCTGGGAAAACCTGGAAAACTCAAGTAATTCCATTTAGAAAAATAAGTAGACACCTTGTAGATAGAGAAAAACGATTAAACGCCACAAAGCAAAGAATGATCAATCTTGAAATAAATTCACGCTAAAAAAAGTTGAAAATAGTGACTGATTACAAGAAAAAGTGACTTCAGTGACTTGGCCTTAAAAAAGAGACTTTTTAGTGAGTGGTTTGAAAAAAGTGACCAAGTCACTAAAAAGTGACTCACTACCAGGCCTGTTTTTACTCCAACATTGGTCGTAAAAAGTAACATTATTGATACATTTTAAGACATAGCGACTTTAGTGACTATTTTGTGAGAAAAGTGATATTTGAGCGACTGTCTTGAAAATAGTGACGAAGCCACTAAAAATGGACCTGCTACCAGCCCTGATATTCTTAAATAAATTTATGGCTTATGTCCATTAAGGTAACCATCTGAATGGCAAATGTCCGTACATCCGTCATCATAAAAGTAATTTGCATTTATCGGTCTAAGATCGCTTATATATAAATAAAATTTTCAAATTGTGCAGAAAAAGGATCGCAAGTGAATGATCCGTAAACCGCCGAGACCTTGACTATTTGAATTTAATTTATGTGTTTTTAAAGCGGATAGATTTGAGGATTTAGAAGTTAGTGTCATCTTGTGTTCTCCCAAGTTGTTAGCTACCCATCGGTGTACCCCCATGTTTATCTTTTTCATCAGAGTGTCGCCTAGTTCGAGATCAAGAGCACATTGCTCTCCAAACCTTGTGTTCACAATCCCTACCCTGCCATCCATTTGTTACAATTTGTTACCCCTAACCTCGAGATAGCCGCGAGTAATCGGCCCCCGCTTTACTAACGTTAGTTTTAAGTAATTTTGTTATCTAAACAATGAATATCGGCTCCGCAAAGCTACAGCAAATGAGCCTGGAAAAATAAACGAAATATTAAAAAAAAAAAAAATGATCCGTAAACAATGTCTAGATTTTGTTAGGGCAACAAAAATAAAAATTTTAAACCAAGATTCAGAAGAATTAACAGGAGTGATTTATATTGTTCATAGTTTAAGATCATAACAAATTTGAAGTTGCGAATTCGAAGATTTTCATGGTGGGTCATAACTACTTACATATGACTCGAATGTAACTCAATTTGTAAAGAATACTCACCTGGAAAGAGAGAAAGGAAAAGAAAACCAAAATTAATACAAATTTGATCAACCGAACAGTTTCATCGTTGGAAAAGTCACACTCATTAAATTTCGCATGTGTCCAGTAAAATGCATCTTCCCAGCAGATTCGTGGGATTTCCGATCGGAACAATTAAAATCACACAACGCACCGCGCAGCTGCTGTTTTGCATCACCGAAAACTAAATTTCAATACAAATCCAAATCTGAAAATAGCCATTCTAGTTCAATTCGGCTGCGACGGCTCATCAATATTATAAATATATGCTCTGTCGTCGTTGCCTTACTACCCAATAAAGACTAAACTGTCGACCGACGCCAACGACGACGGTCGTAAAAGTGGATCAACGTAGTGCCGGTGATTAAAAAGAAATCCGATGCTCGGTCAGCATTCATTAGTTCTCCCGCCGGCTTTGGGTCACTGCATCGCAAGCTTAACTCAGCAACTCAACTGGATGGTGGCGACATCGATTGATGCGGGATAATTAATTGGTATTTTCTCGCATCGCGCACCCATTAATTGGGTGTGCGGTTCACCACCTATCTTCGATTACTTTCTCTCTAAACAGGAAACCTACTTCTGTTGGAATGGAATTGGAATTTGCAACAACTAGGGCGTCTATCTAGATTAACTGTGTCTTACCTTTATCCAGCAGTAAGCTCCGCACCACCTTTAAGTACATCCGGCCATCGTTGCCCTTGGCCACGTGATAGATATACTCCGGATACTCTCCGGATTGACTGCTCTTATCGTCCTCTGAACCTCCCGCCGCCAGGAATACGTCCGGATTGGGATGTACCCGACCGGCAGCTGCCCTTGCTAAACTCTCCGCACTGATTCCGTACAGTGCTTCCGCCAGCGGTGATTCCACCGTTTTCTCCTCGCCACCAGTAGCTCCATCAATCGACAACAAACTACCCCCAAGACGCTCCCGAATCTTCCTCAACCGACTGGACGCTTCCAGTTCCAGCTCCAGGAAACTCGGTTTCTCCTCATCCTCATCATCCGGGTGCTGAGTGGTGGACGACGTACGCCGCGAGGACAACGATTCGCTCTCCTCGCTAATACTACTTAGATAATTTGCACTATGGTCGCGGGCCATCACCAACGGAGACGCATCGCAGAATACTGGCGTTTTGTTGAGGTCGTTGTACTGTAGGAACTCGCGAAGTTGCCGAGCGGCGGATGCTTTGCTCACCAGCTGACGCTCCAGCACGGCATAGGTATTATGGAATCCGTAGCTCGAGTCGCTCGGGTGGCTGGAAATGGACGGCGGCGGCAGAGAGACGGCAGGACTCAGCAGACCTCCGCTGTACTCGTAGAAGCTGCTGGTTTCCAACGAATCGATTGGAGTGCTGTTGAGCAAATCCACCGAGGACAGTTTCCTGGTGAAAAGAGTATTGTAGCCATCTTCAGCAACGCCGTCGTCGCTGGATCGGCAGGTTGCGGCCGCCGTCGTTTTCAATGACAGCGAATCGATTGAGTATTCGGTGGTGCTTTCTTCATCGCTGGTGCATGGAACCGAAGGCGATGTTGTTGTAGACGATGAAGCGTCACGGTTGGTGTTGGCGCAAACTGAAACACTCGAGCTGCTGGTCGTTGTCGTCGACGTCATGCTTCGAATTCGGATCGCCGGGGGGGAGTAGTGCAATTCTTTCGACTCACTCGCGCGCACGCTCACAGACACAGCACAGCAGCGATCCGCGTCACATGGTGGACGAGGGAGCAGCTCCGCAGCACGCCCTGATGGTAGTCTTGGTCTTCAATTAATCAATTATTTTTCACGTTCGATCGCACGAGGTGGTCTGGCTCGAGATACGGTGCGCTCAACAATAATGATTGGTTTTTTTTCTCTTAATTTCGTAGGTTCACTATGCACTTGTTGTTGTTGTTGTTGTTGTTATTGCTTTCATTATGGGTTTCTTGTGGTTATGATTTCACGATTTTTTTTCTCCGCCGGTTTGATTGATGACCTTGGTTCAAAGCTGATGGGATATTCAAAAGGATCGTTAAATTCACTGCTGATTCACTTTGTTTTCTTTTCACGGGCCAGCTTGGTACCAATCCAGACGGAGAGATACTTGAGTGGAGGTTGTTTGTCCATACACACAGGTACGCTTGAGTCGATGATGGTGAGTGTTTGTTTATCGAGAAGTTGCACATGAGTCAGGTGATTTGTCATAAAAAAATTGATGCGAAAAGTGGAAGTTGTCGAGATTTCAGTGGGACATTGGGCTTCACATTTAAGTGTGTCGCTAGTGTATATAGAAAAGCTACATTGCACGATTTTAACAGAATTTAAATAAAATTCCCTGTGTTTTTCCAGGACTTCAACGTAGGGTTTCCAGAATTTATAGAAACTTTTTCTTTAAATAACTACGTTAAAAAATCAGGGTGGCCACTGGATTTAAGAATTTAAATACTCAGATTTTCCCGCTTCTCTTGCACAGTTTTCCCAGTTTATAGGAAACAGCTAAATATTGTAAAATACCCTAAGTAGCATCACAAGTTTTATCGAGGGTTTAAAACATTTTTTTCCTTGATTTGTTTGCCGTCGATCTTGTTTTCCGTACTGAGTATCAAATGCTACCGACGTCAGGGAGGCAGCTCCCACATCTGGATCCTACTTAGCGACCCATCAACTCATGAACCGGGGAGATATTCAGTCTAAAAATGAGATATTGCTCCCATTTAATCATACCTGAACCGATTTTGATGAAACAGTCTATCGGTAATTGATTTAAGTTTTGTGGTCCACGTGGTATATGGACGGCAACTAATGATAAACATACCTTGCCTTAATCCGTCTTCTTTTTAAATAAGTTCTACCTGTGTATACTCAATATCCGAGTAAAACATCTCAGAAATTAGTAATATGAGTAGTAACGAAATAAAACTGATTATTTATTATTATTCTAGCTAAGTTTGTGATGTCCTGGAAATGAATTTGCATCCTAAATTAACAAAATATTATGAATTATTATAGCTTAACAAATAATCAATCAATGGGTTCATAGGTATCAAAAAGATAAGATCACACTTTAGGGAGATTAGTTCACATTTTTTATGACTTCCGACATCAAAAAATAGAATCAGCATCCCAAAATTTACTAAATATGTGATTTCAGCCAGATTCTGAAACTTTTTTTAGGTTTTGTATGGAGACCTGCCACTGTACGCTGTTTTGAAACATTCTCTAAACCTAAATCATGATCTACAAGAGCATGATAAAACCAAAAATGTTACTTTTTTATAAATTTTGACAGGAATGCAGTCTGTCAAGTCTGTAGTAGTAATTTCCATATAAACTTCAAATGGTTTGTGCCAAGTCAGTTTCTTACTAAATGAGTTCAAATTTAGGGGAGGCTTGTCAGATCCCAATTTGGAACCGTTTGGGCACTGAGGAGCGAAAATATCAAATGTTGCATCAGTCTAATGAGCATACTGATACTAATTGACGTTTGAGCGGTTGTTTTGAGTTTGGAATGAGCTAGAATTATTTTTTGGCATTGTGAGTGAGAGAGCGTGAAAATGCATGCGAATCTCAAGCGTGAGATTTGATTGCCAGATTCGTACGCGAGTTTATGCTCTCAGAGAGACTCAATGAATGAGATTAGAAAATACTTTTCCGAACACTGTTTTGGATTCTACTTCTTCTCTTGGAATTTTACTCAAGAACCTTGGAGTTCTCCTTACAAAATAAGAATTTTCTTCAAAATTACTAAACAATTTTAGTCAGCACTCTCTTTGGAATTACCTTGGAATCATCAGAATGTTCTGTAGGATTTTTTTTTAATCCTATTCATGATTATGTTGGGATTCTACTCAGAACTACCTGGAATTTCCCTTACGATTCTAATCTGAAGTTCAACAGAACTAACTTGAAAGGAATTCCCAGATTTTCTATCAATTCTCCTTGGAATACTTGTCTCAATTCCCTTGAAATTATGCCTAGAATTAAGTTATGACTCAAAAACGGTAAGATACACCACTCTGAAGTGTTCACCAGTGAGCAGGCATGGAAAATCATTTACATTTATTTCATGCATTCATTTACATTCATTTGCCTCTAACTTTTTTCATCAACAGCATTCCGCAAATGTTTAAAGCTTTTGTAGGTTTTATTATTAGCTACAACTTTTGTTAAGAACTCAAATCTGTATCTCTTATGCATCACGAATAAGAGCGGGCAGAACTCGTTACTGTTTTTCAGTGAATGTAAAATACATTCACTGAAAAACAGTAGTGGATTCTGTTTGCTCTGGTTCGGCATGCATAAGAGATACGGATTTGAGTTTTCAACAAAAGTTGTAGCTAATAACAAAACCTACAAAAATTCCCTACACCATTTTGCGAAATTCTGTTGATGAAAATAGTTAGGGGCAAATGAATGTAAATTAATGCAAATGATTTTCAATGCCTGCCAGTGAGTGGTCCTGAATGGGAATTTAGCAAGAAAGATGATTAAATACGTTCGTCGTGACGAGAAAAGCAAACCAACAGTTGGGTAAAGAAGAATTCCATTATAACACACCGTTGTCTGGAAATGCTTGCGGGAAAACGTGGGGCTTTAGGTTGTCGCTAGAACTATTCCATATCCGCAGACAGTATATGAACAAGTCAAACGCGCACTCTTTTGCCTGTGGATTTGAGGTCATACCCCTCACCCATCAATGTTAGAGCTACGTAAAGGCTGATGGCTTTTCGCTCAATTTCAACTTCTGTTTAATTTTCACACTGCCGTACTTTAGCGGAACTATCAATCTATCCTCTTCAGAACTTTCTCTAGCTAATAAATTATCGCACTTAAGCTTAATGTTGATTTTACAGGGTGATTCAGAATAACTGTCACCGATTTCACAAATATGCAATTTTCGATGGGGAAAATGGGTATATGTTCAAGTATTTTTGTTTTAAAGTGTGTACAAATAACAGCTTGTATTGAGATTAGGATTTTTTCATTTGTCATAAATCTGTATAAATTCGTGTGTTATCGTTTAGAAACTGAAATATCTTCGAAAGAATGAATCATTTATTTTTCGCCTCATTATAGAGCATGGAAAATCCGACCTCAGACCTCAGACCCATCGCCGCCAGGACTCCAAAAGTGCTGGAACTAAAATATGCGAACCAGCTGTGGTTCATTTTCGTGACAAATGTGGCTGGTAATTAGAGGTAAAGAGCGAGGGATTTGAATTAAAGTATATATATAAGTAGTATATCTGGAATATACTGATATCATAAAATAATGCAAACATTCAATCGCTATGACCATTTTTTAACGTAACAGTTATTCCGAATCACCCTGTAGTGTAGCATTTCCTCCCAACTCAGGAAAGATCTATTTAGAGCCTGATATTGAAGCATTAGAAATAAAGTATCTTCTTCAAAGTTGTTACTTAGAAGCTCTTATTTTGGTGTCAACCATTGCTAGGGTGGTTCTTATTATCATTAAAATCAGAAATGTAACTTTTGTATTGGCAGAAATTGTAGCTAAGCTAATTTAAATCAACTTTGTTGAAAAAGACTTGACCGATTTAGAGCAATTTACCTCAATTGCCATAGGATGTCTAAAAAACAGTTTTTTCGCACTATTTATTTTTTTTTAATTTAAAATTTATCAGCAAAGTTGTCTTCCGATAACTTTTAGAACATTTGAAGATGCAATTTAAGGAGCACAGAAAAATTGTAGCTTAGTCAATTTTTACCATCTTTACTAAATACATTTTTTTTCTATCTCTTAAAACTCCGAACACGATGCCTCAGGTAAAATGTGGCAAACTTCAATGCTCAGCTATTTATTGACGAATTTCAATTTTTTATCGCCATTTGAAACTACAGACTTTAAGGGGAAGTTAACCGCTTCGAAAAAATAATAATTACGTTTTGATTTGTCTAAATAGATTTGATTATATTTTTTCTGGATTGTTTAGATAACTTCCTTTCACTACACAACGCTCTTTTTACGATGCTTGGTCCATAAATTATGAATTTTCAGAATACTTCAACTAAAGTATTGCGGGATAATTAAACGCTGCGATTTTTTCGATGTGTTTTTTGTTCGTTCATATTTCATATAATTCTTCGAAAGAAGTCTATTGGTTGTATTTCGCAACACCAAACGTGTAAAAATCTATATAAAAAAGACTTGGGTGTACTTTAATATAATACATTCTTAGTTTAAAGAATTGCTTGATATGAGAATTCCAAAACTCCCTGAGAATCTAAATGTTGTCTTTATTTATTGAAAAAAGGATATAACAAGAAGCAGTTCCAGGCACAATAGCTAAAAATATGCATCGACCTTCTCCTATTTGTATGAAACTTTGAGTAATTGTTTTTATGAGCAATGATTGACAGTTTTTCTAAAGGGCTACAAATGGTGAATTGACAACCTGGGAAGAGCGTTTTTCCTATCTCTGGTCCTCACAAGTTCCTACCTCACACCTCCCCGTGGTGTAGCCTGGGCAATGTTGTCCTTCTGACAATAGCAAAGTGAGGGGGTGCGACGCGAACACTGGCGCGGTAACCATAACACGGCGATCGAGGAAATGCTTCGTCAACCCGCAGGAGTGCCAAGCGGCACATTAGGATCGACGCCAGTAAGATTCTTATTACGGCATACTGGATACGGCATGGAACTATGGACACGACACGGCACAATGGATTGGATACCACGCTACAGGGCTGACAGTCGTGCTATTCTGCTCCCTAAGTAAAGAAGGGTGACACCTTCTTGAAATGGCGAGTGGGCTAATAGTGCGGCTGCCCCCGTCCCGGTAAAACCTTGGCAGGCCTCCGGATACGTTCAAAACTCGTCACCAATTGGTGATTGGTGAGTAGTAGACTCAGATGTAACATTCCTGACTTACGCCGATCTGGCTCTGAACACGGCCCCCATGAAGGACCGTGTCAACCCTAGCATGGCCTCCCTGCTTGCATAGATAACCATGGGATCACGATAGGCGACTACATACAACGAGTG